AACGGTTCTCACCACCCTCCTCTGGCGCAAACACCGTTTGCTGCGCTGCGCTCATCACGAGAAGCCGGGGAACTCTCTTGGGTGGACTTCAAGCGCGATGATAGTCAGTCTGAAGTTTTCTACTATGCCATCTTTATTAGTTCAAAGACCGGGCTTGGGGGTTGGTCTCAGTGGTCAATGAAAATGTACTAGTGTGCTGTCTTAACATGCAGAAATTTTATTAGACTGCTAGCTTTACCAGCGGTAGGAGGGTGAAAAGACGGTGCATGAGCGAAGTAGGATCCTCTTTTTTTGTATCCCATCGACGATATTCTTTGGTTTTGGTACATAACAATTTGCATAAGCAAAGTCGAATATTTGTTACAAATCTAGATCCTGCACTCTCATCTCTAGTCTCTAGCTATCATCTTAGTATATTAGTCAAGCTATATCTTGTACTTTCTTGGGCCTAACTAAGAAAAGAGAACAAGAAAAGCAAAAGCAAATACGACTTTCAGCCAGGCTGCTTCATTCAAGTCTAGGACTTAGGCAAGACTTATAAATCGAGCAGTTATAAAGCAGTTTAATCGCATTTATCGTCTCTCACTTAGCTCTGATCTGGTGTCGTCGCTCACAGTCCAAGAAGAGTAGTCCTTTCATTGGCTAGCGGGATTACGCTTAATGGGATAGACCGATCATCGCTTCCTTCCTCTACTAGTTCTGGAGTCAAGCCAGCAAAGAAGTAGACTCCTTCCTTTTTCACTGGCTAGCATCATAGGGATATTCGACGTTTAATGAGATAGTCTAGTTCTAGACTAAAGCTAGCAAAAAACAAGACTGAGGTCGATAGGGGCATTACTAGTAATTGCTAAGGTGCTTTATTAAGTATTTTCCACGCTCCTCTCCAGTCTCTTTCCAGCCTTTGTGATTTCATATACTATTCCCGTATGCCATATCTCTTATTCAATCTTGCTATACGTCCAAGCTCGGTAGTTGGAAGCAGAACTGAGACTGGATGTGACTGAAGGAAAAGGGAGATAGGTGTGATAGGAGGGCACGGTTAAACAGGTAAGCGAAGGCTCTCTCTCTCGCTCTGTGGTCTTGTGTGAACTCCTTTCCGCCCATTATTGATCTTCACTCTAAGTGAGCAGGTCAAAGCAGTTGAGGTGATAGCAATAGTAAGCAGGGAAGCAGAAGCAAAAGGTCTTCAAAGAACTTTTGTGTAATAAAGCTTCTTGGTCTCATTTCATTGGTCTCTAAGGCAAAGTCTCGCTTAATCGTTCATCGATCTTTTTCTGTAAGGCCTCGGGCCCCACGAATTCCGATTTCTGTTTTTGTTTGTATTAAAGTGTTGGTAGCTTCTAGCCTCGAGCTGGAAAGTCTCATCGGCGGGGGTACTATAGATATATCATAACTCTCTAATTGAGACTCAATCTATACAATCAATCAATCAGTATGTGCAATATACCGGTCTTTGCGATATGCTCTTTCAAATAGATCACAGATCTTCCCGCTTAGCTGCACTGCTCTCTGAGCTCTTTTGTCCGCTATCGCTTCCTCTAGTACTAGCTCTGATCTCTCTTCAGCAGTTGCAGTACGATTCTTTAATTCATCTCCTGCCCTTTATAGTCGTAATCGCTAGAAACTCTATATCATTGGCAATTGGCATTGGCGTAATCTTTTTTCTCCTGTCGGAAGGGGGTCCTGTCGAAAGCAAGAAAAGGCATTGCAAATGGCGTGCCCTTACTCTAATTCTAAATAAAGCTCTTTTGCGCTCTTGGTCAGGCCTGTAACAAGTATCTAAAAAATCTTTTCTTTTCGGCCTATGGTTCGGTCAAAGCAATGACTTGAGTGAGTAAGGAAGTAGGACCTTTTTACCCCGGCTGTGAGTTATTACTGACCCCTCTCTGTCTCTCCCCCGCTGTGAATGAAGTGAGTAATTCGTTGGTGCTTGCCCTTCAGTAAGTAGTTCGGATGGCTGGATACATGCTACGCTCTGCCACGCTTGCCTGACCGCGAGAAGCCTTAGGGTAAAATAATCTTGAACAGCAATTTGAGAGCATCTTTGGAATTGAAAGAAGGGGCTAACCTGACTTTCACTTTCATAAAAAGAGAAAACTGGACTTGCACTTTAAGAAATGGAATTGCGATGAGCCAGAAGTTAGAATCTCGCCTAACCACCTGTCTCCGTCTCCCGTAGTTCCCCCCAGAAACATCCGTTTGCCTACTTCTACTCTGGCCGGGGGTAACAGTCTTTTTGAGAACCAAGTGGCCCTTGAGGAAGACCTTCAGAAAACCCCTCTAACTCGGGGAAAGGAATTCAAGCCCATAAAATGAGTCAAGTCTATGATAGGTACCAATAGTCTTTATGGCGCTCTTACCCCTTATGCAAAGCACCAATGACTTCGGTCTTCTGAAAGGGGCTTAGGGCATATCATCAAAGAAAGAATCCCGAGGAAGGGGGTGAAGCTGAGGTTAGAAACGGTTTCTCCCGCTGTTGCTAGTTCTTCCGTTGTTGGTAGTTCCTCAGGTCGGGTTGTTTATTTTTCAGAGCTTTTTCAATTCTTTCAGAACCTTTCGTATGCGCCTATTGGAAGATTTGGGCTACCTCCTCTCTTTCCGATCTCATTCAGATAATAAGCCAGTCCGGTTTATTAGATAGTGAGTGGGTAAGAGAGGTGCTTGGTCTGTCTCCGAATGTGGGCCTAGAAGCATTAGCCGAGTCTCTGAATATTCCCGAGGGTTCTCAGGATAAAGACAGCCTTAAGGTGCTAACGGAGCTTCCACGGTCTCAGTCCATGAAGGTGCTTGCTTTATTGGTTGGCAGCTTGGTTATAGTCGTTATGAAGAATGAAGGAGCGACGAAGGAGCTCACTTCCACGACATGGGAAAGGATCATGGGATGAGGAAAAGAAAGAAAAGGTGCAAGGTGAGGAGATATCGAGAGGTAGAATAGGTGAAATGAGTTCAAAGGAATTAGTTAAGACACGCTTCTTTAGCACAGGCCACGGAGTGAAGTTGGAAGGTTCAATGAACTACGCGAAGGGGAAATCTTGGGCGCTATTGTTGTCTATATACAAGTGGCGTAGGCGAAGCTGTGGCGACTCGTGGAGTAGACAGCGAGCTCCGCTTGAACAGAAAGCAGCAAGCTGCAAGCACTACTCCAAAAGCAGTGAGCTCCGCAACAAAAGCGAAGCGAGCCGCGGTAGCCTATTAAGTTTTTCAGCTGCATCGTACCGTACTATGGGAGGGGTCCGTACCTCCTTTAGATAGAGCCCCCCTGCTCCTAATGTAGAGCTAGAACTACTGCTACCGTGGAATCCGCGGTCACACATAAGTATCTCGCCTTCCAAAAAAAGCGGCTGCTAATTAGCACTAATGCTAATGGGGACCATCGATCAAGAAGGACTTCGGAGACTGCAATCGAATTGATCAAAAAAGAGAAATAGGGCCAACTCTTCTAGTTGCGCCTCTAACCTTACTACGCTACCCTGATAAAAGGTCGAATTCAGCAGGACTGCAGGCACGAAATGCCGATCAAATCCGTTAAAGGAAGCCTAATCAAAGCGGGCAAACAAGAAGATCTGACTGAGTTGATGATGGACCGGATCTCGAAAGGCGAGAGGCTTTCATAAAGACGTATGAGAAACGGAGGGTCGAGAGAGGCTTATTGCACGATCCACCCAACCGCTAATAAATGCTGCATAAGATAAGAGAGTGGGAGGCCGGCCCCCGCCCATCTGGAGGTGCACACCCATTTATGAACATATACAAAGGGCTAAAGAGAGAAGTCCATGGAGAACTACCAAATCCAATGACTTTGATTTGTTCGTACCATTCTGTCATCGATCACTGCTGGGTCGGTTGGTGAGTCACCCAAAAAAAGCATCGAGAAAGGTCAAGCATATATGTTTTATGAAATGATCAGCGGTTTCATTTATGCTATGCCCTGCATCGTGTTCGTCTGTGTTTATTGAGCTTTCAGCGCCATGCGCTTTGCTTCGCTTTATAAAAGAGAGAGAGCCTTGTCTTGAGAGTGAAAAGAAAGGGCAAGCGATAGAAAGGATAGTCCCTCGCGCGTTCGCGAGAACTACTAGAAAATGGTGAGATCATTAGATCATTAGTGAAAGAAGGACCAACGACGATCCTATCCTAAAGGAGAAGAAGGAGTAGGAGGAGTCAGTTTTCTTTGAAGATCGAGGAATCAATCTCCCAATTATGCCATTCGGAAGAAGTCTTCTACAGAGGGAAAGCCTGTTACGAGTAAGTGGAGAGGAAAGATCTCCAGAGATTCTTATCTCATTCCATTCCAGTGGCTCAACCAGTAACCAATGGCGAAAACTAAAAAATCCATGGTTTCCCGGTAGAACCCTATTTCGCCCAAGTTGTTTCAGAACCGGAAAAAAGAAGCGGTTTTTCGCACAGCTTGCGCATAGTGCAGGTCCCACTTGTATATCGTATTTGGCCGAAGAAGCATCGGACAGGTTGGAGTTCTTACCTTCTTGGGATTCCATGGACCAAGATCTGCTTTTATTATATGGGCAATACCGATCTACTTTAGTAGATCATATGGATGTAGAAAAAGCTTCTCATTTTGATGAATTGGAAACATCTCTTTTCCATTTCTATTTACCCAGTTCATATCTTTGTTTCGTGTGTTCCCCGGAGGAATTCGATCTCTTCAATCTCGGCGGGATACCACCTAAATAACTATAACTGCGGCCAGAGAGTCAAATAGGTCGGGAAGAAAGAGTCTGAGGTTGGGTTGGACGACATACATCTTGGTTGGTCCCACCACCACTGGGGATTGGACATATATAGAATCTTTCTTCTAAAAAAGTCTTATTATATATATATATAATTTTATATTCTTATTTATTTAAATAGCTGCAAGACCACAAAACGGGGTGAAAAAAACCGAAAGCCCTTCTTTTAAGTTCCTCCCAGATACATGGCTTACATACCCGGCTCAACATTCTTGGAAAACAATCGAATCGAGGGTCCGGAGGAGAATTGGCCATTCAATCTTGTGAACTAATCGAGACCGAAATTGGAGAAAGAGATACGAACGGAAAGGAATAACCAATCGATGAAAGAACATGAAACCATTCTGTTTCAATAGAGGTACGAGAAAGGGTTGGGGGCAATGAAGTAGGTGAAGTGGTTGGATTTTGCGAGCTGTTCCCACCACTGCTGGATGTGATTCCAAGAGCCGAACGAGAATGAATACCACACAGAAAAGTCAAGACCAGGCTCCCTAATGGAATGTTTAACCGATCCATTCCGGATCGACCGAATTGGTACGGAAGTTGTAACATGGGAAAACCACGGAAAACACGACTTATTTGAATAACCCGGTGACCTACCAATTGTAGAAGTAGGATTTTTGGCAAGCAATAAGCACTTAAATAATACAATTCAAGTGTACCATCTTCTTTCTCATTTCGAGGAAAAGGTGCGGAAGGAAAAGGAAACAACGGAGGGATCCGAATCGGACCTAAATGGGAATGACATGAAAAGTCTTTTTCAAAACCTAGCATTAAGGGCGTTACGACGATATATGAGAGGAATGGAGAAAAACTCGTGATTGGTGTGGAGGGGAAGGTCTGTTTATAATATAGTTCAAGAAAGAGTCGTCTCATTTCCTTACTTCTTCGTTCTTTCTAATTCATTCACTTCAAGACTGGTTCTGAACGCCGCGTAACATCATCTTCAACCAACCTCCATCGTACCGGTGCGACCACTAAAGAATTGCTTATACACTAAACAGCTGCTTATATACGCTTACTAAAAGACTGACTTTTATTCATATTCAATTCATTAGGCCAGCGTGAAACTAAGAAAGATAGATGTGCCTAAGGCGTAAGCAAACTGTGCACGCTAAGAGAAGAGGAGAGATGTTCGCAATGACTACCACAAGAAAGCCGCCCCCTCTCTCTAAAAGGGCCCGTCACTTCGTTCGTACCTTCTTGGCTTAGGCTTGCAACTTCACTTACTTTATGGCCTTGCCGCCTTTTTATAGCAGAAGCTAAGCGCTTGAAAAGCGCGCTAAGAAAGGTTGCTTCTGTCGGCCTTTATGTGCAACAGTCCACCAGTAGCGGAAGATAGGGTTACCGTACATACAAGAGTCTTCCAGTTCTTACGGAAGCTCTTTCTTACCAGTCAAGTAGTACAACAGCTGTCTCTTATCTTATAGCCCGGCGCGGCGGGTCGCCTTTTTAATTCAGTAGATAGAAGAAAGTATTAGATAAGGAGTAGGTGAGTGAGTCCTCGCTGACCTGAGCGATTTCGATCACCTAGCAGGCCTTTTCTTTGGTAGGTAACATCGCCAAAGCGTATCATCAGATTTGACTACGAAGGAAGGAACTCGGCAGAAGATCGGTCTGCAAGAAAGGCCTACTTATCCACGGGTTCATTGACAAAACCGCCGTAGGAATGGAGACCTTTCAATAGAGCGGAGGCGAACTGATCAACGAGAAAGAGGCCCTACTCACTACAAAGGAATACACCACAAGATCGAACTGCACTCATGCCTCTCCCGCATCAAGTTGACCGCCAGACTGGAGCTTCGTAACATGTTGACGAAGACCTCCGAACTGAGGGTTCGGTCAGTACAAGAGACTACTTTGTCTCCTCGGAAGAAGAATAGCCCCGCTCTCTAGCCGACTGATCCCGTTGATCAAACTGGGAGGGAACGTGTCACATTAGAGGTGAACGATCAGAGGTGTCCTCTAATCACTACGATGAGCTGGTCCCTCTTTTAGTAGACTCAGCTATGAATATTCATGAAAAAATGAATGCCTCTTTCACAGCTAACCCCATTTTCTTAATGCCGAGACTTTCTCTTTCGTCGAGCCCCGAGCTTGTGGTCCTCCTTTGAGTTTGGGTTCAATTGGATGAATCTGTCAAGTCAAGGTCAACGTACGTAGCAGCAAGGATGGTGCATCGCCTCTTTCTCGTTCTCGCTCGGGAGCCAAAACGAACACGCCTGCTACCTACTGTACTGGACCTTCGACCAGGCATTCTACCTTTGTCGAATCGGAACCAATACCACTGCATTGCGCTCGAACAGTTGAGCGGCCGCCGGCCCTTCCGTGCACAGATATAGATTCATTCTTCGTACCTGGTCCAGCCTCACAACCCTTCGCGGTTGGTAAGAAGTCAGTCTTGTTTGGTAAGACGGAATTTTACAAAGAAAAGAGAGTGCTCGCCCCGGCCAACAAAGACCGTAATTACATAGATAACTGCTCCTCCCCTTCTCCGTCTTTAAGGCTTTAAGGCGAACCGTATGGCGGCTGGAAATAAAGACGACCTCACCTTCTCGTAGATGGTGTCAGTGAGAGCCATTTTAGTACCCCCCGTTGACCTTTTTTTGTAGATAGAATCTTCAATGAGTGGAAACAAGCAACCTTACTAAGCTAAGAAAGGTGCTTGTTGAGTAAGGCCGGCTTTCTTCGAATGCTTGAGCGCTTCTTTCTCATATCGATCATTCAATATCCTTGACTTTTCAATAAGGGGCGCGTTAGCTAGGCCGTTTTCTTGCAGGAGTGCTAGCGCGCGCCCTTACGTTTTCTTCGCTTGCTCTGCAGTACGAGCCTCATACAAAGCCGCGCCCCTTTAATATGATGAAGAGGGGCCGCCCTCTTTTCTTTTCCGCACCAATCCTTATTTACTACTACATCTTTTTTGGGGTGTATAGCTCAGTTGGTAGAGCATTGGGCTTTTAACCTAATGGTCGCAGGTTCAAGTCCTGCTATACCCAAACCTAACTTGCACTATACTATGAGTAAGGATGCGTAGTAGCGCAAAGAGCACTCTTTGGCCTTTAGATTAGAGGCGCTTCGCCGTCTTTGATTGGATGGAAACATCTATCTAAAGTGTGCAGTGAAGGAGAAGAGTAAATAGTAGGGGAAAGAAGAAAATGGCACATTGACATTCATCTTCCTCTCGAAGGGCTTTGAGAAGAGGGGCAACAGTGAAGATACCGAGACCGTGTCTATGGGGTCTTAGTAAGAATCTGTTGCAAGCAAATGCATGTAAGGGAGGAATGCCCGCATTAAGATTTAAAACTTGTCGTCTACTTGAAGGAAATGTTTGGAACAGGAAACTTACAATAATACAACGCCGCATTCTTCGAAGATTGAGGAACAAGACGAGATCTATTAAGAGAATGATTTATTCTCGAAAAAATCTGAATAGTTACATCCAATTACAAACTACACGAAAGTTGCCCCTTGATTTGAATTTTATCTTTGTTATCAGTACCTTTTTTTTTTTCATTAGCTTTGGCGTTCCGGTTGCCTTTAGCGCCGGCGAGAGTCTTTCAGCCGTACCTTCCCATTCGGATTGGTTTACCTTTACCGAGGATATGCTGGAAGACTCAGCGAGTTCCGGGCGTAGTAGTAGTACCTCAGCGGTAAATCAACCGCTTCCGGGGGAACAAGCTACGCCTCCCGCTCTTCCGGGAGCTCGGACTCCGCCCTACACCCCCTACCCCTATGGCCCGGAGGAAGTGATAGGAGGGGATTCGGTCCGCTCTATAGAGGGCCGCCTCCTGTCGGGCAAAACAGCGCCTTCGTCGCTAGATATATATCTAGCCCGGATCAACGCCGAGGACCTATTCGAGGTCAAGGTGGATATCATCCGGGAGATGGCGGGCCTGCATCCAAGTGGCGATTGGCTGGGGCGGGGGGCTCGAGCCCTCGATAATCCGAGGGGGAAGGAGTCCTTGGGGGAGCTCCTTCAAATGCGTAGAGACCTACGGGCTAGGAATTTTAAATCCGAGACCTTCGGCCTATTAAAGGAGAAGGTTTTCCTTAGGGATACCCCCCCTCAGAAGGCTCTTCCGCATAGTCCCGCGATCCACAAACGGACGCATGGGACTATGCCTTCCTAGCCGCGTGCAGCCTACCTGCGGGAGACCGTAACGTCAGTCACTAAGTACTCCATACGTGGGAAATGAAAGCAGAATTCGTTCGGATCCTCCCACATGTTCAATCTTTTTTTAGCGGTTTCCCCAGAGATCTTTATCATTAATGCAACCTTCATTTTGCTCATTCATGGAGTTGTATTTAGTACGTCTAAGAAATTTGATTATCCACCGTTAGTCAGTAATGTGGGTTGGCTTGGATTACTTAGTGTTGCGCGCCTAGGAGGGCAGCGCGCTTTGGGATGCGGAGGAGCTATTATCGCCCAGTTCCCTAACCTAATGCGGCACCGGGTTCGGACCGCAGGGAACCGTAGCATGGGGGGCTTAGAATCCTTTTGCCGCCGCAAGGCTGGCTAATCGTACGCAGCAGGCTCGAAGACCCCTGGTTCTGAAAGGCACATGAGTCCGAACGCTATGTTGAATGTGCGACCGACACTAGGTAGGTACCTGTGCAGGTGAGGCGTCGGTCGGTCCTAGAAACGGCGGCAGCGGCGCGAGGAGTTCACGACCGAACGTGCTGCAACCTAGGGATCACCAGGCAGCTCTTTCGCTCTCTAGGGATCGGGGGGCATAGCACAATTCTTCTTGGAGGAGGGTTGGTTTGCCCGGGTGACTGATCCTGCCATAATGTAATCCTACCTATACTATAGCACCGACACCCGAAGTAGAGCATACATACGACGATCTTCATGCGTGAATAGCGGGGAGGAAAGAAAGGGCGGTAGATGATAATGAGAAAAGGCGCCGCGTCTGGGCGGGCGGAATGGATGAGCGAAAGGTGTCATGCCATGGAGTGGGTAATATCCCGAGTCTCATGTAAGACAACTAAATGCACCTCGAGGTGCTGCCGAGGAACTGAGGGACCTTCTCGAGCACAGGATAGGTAATTGAGAGATAGAGCTAGCCTATTCGTTATGGGGAATCAATGCTCCGGGCCGAATAGAGCTTACCTACGGCACCTGGCTTTCTCCGGCGCATATTAGCTTAGCTGCGCTTAATAGGCCGGTTTGCCTTCCTCTCTGGCGGCCTCCTTACCTTACCCCCGCTACACTCTCACTCCAAGCTACGCCTGCTGAGCAAGATGCATTGCGATTTCCTCTTCTGTGGACGCACCTATGACCCGGGACGGGAAGAGAAAGACTTTTTTCTACGGCGAGCTTTCTCTCGTAAAGCCAAAGACGCCCCAAGACAAGTTCCAACTGTTGGGAAGGGGACATGATCAATAGAACCTGGCTGGATCCGGGCTGGGAGAGGGGCGCCCATTCCTAACCACTTTCGAAAAGGTTCGCTCATGCTGGAGGGAGCATCCCCACTTAGTGATCGGTCCGCTAGTTCACGCAAATCCGAAGAAGTTATCACGGACGAGCCACATGCAGGGAAACTTGCACGTGTGGTTCTGGCCGGGCTTTCCTGAGGTATCTAATAACCTTGCTTCTGCTCGCCGCTGGCGCACCTCTCCTAACTATTGCCCATTTATTCTGGAATAATCTTTTTAGGAGGGACAATTTTACATATTTCTGCCAAATCCTTCTATTATTAAGTACGGCTGGTACCATTTCGATGTGTTTCGATTCTTCCGAACAAGAGAGGTTTGATGCTTCTGAATCCATTGTATTAATTCCACTTCCTACTCGCAGTATGCTCTTTATGATCTCGGCTTATGATTCAATTGCCATGTATTTAGCTATTGAGCCTCAAAGTTTATGTTTTTATGTGATCGCAGCATCAAAAAGAAAGTCTGAATTTTCCACGGAAGCCGGCTCGAAATATTTGATCTTAGGTGCATTTTCCTCAGGAATCTTATTGTTTGGGTACGACCGGACAACTACCGATATCTATTAATATCTTTTCTTATAATGTTGTTGTTAAATATATATCTATCTATATCGTAAACTATCGGATCGAGTATTACTTAGATGTGAAACTTGCGGACCTCATTGGTTGTGATATTGATCTTACGGGGGGAACGAAATCAAAGAATATATAGACTGACTTGTAGAGACCCTCTATGTAGTTGTCTATCTAGGGTGATCGATCTACATCTTTCCCCATAGCCCTGGGGCTGTGTCTCGATCTCCTATGTGCGAAATCTAAGGGACTTGTTCCTATGGAGATTCCCCTTGGTCTAATTCCACGCCTTATGACGAAAGGGGAGTCGGCGTGGCGTAAAGTGCAGATTGGGGGGAGTAGATAAAAATTCCCTTCTGGGGTATTCCGAAGGTGTAACCTAGGCAACAAAAAAGGGGCCCGATACTTCAACTAGAGGAGCGACCTGTTGGTTCACCAAACCCCGACTCAGCGTCACACGTTCTCCAGGTCCGAAGGGATCCAGCGCCCAACTACCGACTCCTCCCGGAATTGCGTTATCGGAGCCGAGCCAGGAATGGCCGTTAGTGGACACCCACCTTCACCG